AGGTAAACTGTGATAACTTCTTTCCTGGTTGGATTTTCCTACCTTTTTTTTTAAAAATTGAAGTAAAATTCACATAACTTACAATTAATCAGTATGAAGTATACAAGTCAGTGGCATTTAGTGTATTCCCTGCAAAGTGGTTAAACAGCCGCCTCTCTCTAGAGTGGAAATGTTGGGCCATATAGTAAGTTCATGTTTAACTTTTTGAGGAACTGCCAAAATGTTTTCCACAGAAGCTGCATCATTGTACATTCCCAGCAGCAATGCACGAAGGTTCTTATTTCTCCATATCTTTGCCAACACATTTTTCATTTTCTTGTTTTTATGAAAATCATCCTAGGAGGTATGAAGTGGTATACCACTGTAGTTTCGATATCCATTTTTTAATGGCCAGTGATATTGAATATCTATTTATGGGCTTATTGGTCATTTGTCTGTCTCCTTTGGAGAAATGTCTGTTCATATTCTTTGCCCATTTGAAAAATTGGATTGTTTGACTTTTTGTTGTTCAGTTGTAACAGTTCTTTATATATTCTGGGTATTAAACCATTATCAGATATGTGATTTGCAAATATTTTCTCCCATTCTGTATGTTGTCTTTTCACATTCTTGGTAATGCCCTTGGGCGCACAAATGTTTTCCAATTTTATGAAGTCCAATTTATCCATTTTTATTTCATTACTCCTGCTTTCTGTATCAAATCTAAGAACTCATTGCCAAATTTATGTCAAATCTTTAAATTCATATAGAACTGCAAGGGACCCCCAAATAGTCAAACATTATTTTAAAAAGAAAAACAAAGCTGGAGTACTCACATATTCTGATTTTAAAGCTTATCACAAAGCTATAGTAATCAAAACAGTATGATACTGACATAAAGACAGACATATAGACCAATGAAATAGAACTGAGATTCTGGAAATAAACACAAACATCTCTGGTCAATTGATTTTTGACAAGGATGCCAAGATCATCCCATGGGAGGAAGGCTTCTTTCCTTAACAAATGGTGTTGGGACAACAGGACAACCAAATGCAAAAAATAGAGCTGCACCCCTACCTCACTCCATATATAAAAATTAAATCAATGTGAATCGATGATCTAAATATGAGATAAAACAATAAAACTATTAGAAGAAAACATAGGGGTAAACATTCAGTATGGATAATTTAAATCCACAGCTGATTCTCCACTCTAGTTAAAAATGAACATATTCTCCATAATAACTGTTGCCCAAAGACTATGGGGATGATAGCATTGGTGACTGATTTGAGATGTATCTATTTTCATTCCCTGCCAATTAGGATCAATACTACATCAGAAATGCCCTGGAAGCTAATCAGAAAGAAGGCAAAGAATCAGTGCCTAGGCTAATCCTAGCAAAAAGTCCAGTTGGCCATGAGTAATAAAAAATAAAACCCAAATACACCATTTAAACCAAAGGCACCCTTTTGTTCCTAAATTCTTTTCTCTAGTTGATTAATTCTTCTATTCCATCTCTCCGTTGCCCAATAATTTTATTAGCAGTTGTTAATATAGGGGGTAGGGGCACGGCCCCTGGATTCAGAGGGCCTGGAGTCCAACTCCAGCTCGACCTCTTCCTGAGCTGCTTCTCATTTCTTTTTCAGCTTCCTCATATTTTAAATGAGAATATTAGTGCCCACTTCATGGGGTTGTTTCCTAGCACACAGTGAGTGCGTCTTAAATGTGTGCTATTATTTCTAGGACTGACGGAGGATGGGTGAGGCAAGAGAGGTATTTCTACACTTCCTGAAGTCCATGATTATATAAACAGGTGCTAGAACAAAGCAGCTTATTCGGTGGCCATGATTCTGTGCCTTCTAAACCTCCAGCTACAGGGACTGTCCCTGACCGGGGGCCCAGCTGTGCTCTGAAATTCACCGCCATGTTGGCACAGAGGCCTCACTTCCGGCCAGCGGCTCCTCGCCAGGGAGGCCGTTGAGGGGGGTTGGGGGCTCAGGGCTCCGCCCACGGCCCCCACCCATGACCCCTTTGGCTAGAGTGCTCTCCGCCAAACCTTCCCCTCGTCTGAAGGGCGAGCTAGACCTCCCACCTTGTTGTGTCTTTGCTATGGGCCACACTTGCATCGTGGTCTGAGGCTTTCCCGGCCTTTCCTGGCTCCCTCCCTATTTTCCCTCGTGCTTTTAATCCCATCCTAGTGTCTGAGTCTTAGAGGACGTGGACTAACACAGCCTGGCATTCAAAGCTCTCTTAGTTGTGGCCTTAACCTATATTCCACCTTGGCTCCCCAATGTGCCTAATGCTTTCCCAGCTCTGAGCCTCTGCCCACGGCCCTGCACTGAGCTGGCCCTCACCACCTGACCATGTGCGCCTACTGGACCCCATTTGTCATTGATCATGCATCTCATATGTCACCTTCTCCAAGCCTTTCAAAACCTGACGGCCAGGTATACTCTTTCCCTTCTGTAACCTTCCAGGACTCTTGCCTTTGAGCTTTTTCATAAGCTTATTAATAGCAATAACCATTTCTTTGAACCCTCCAAAACCCCCAGTTTGTATAAAACAAACACTTAATATTTATAGAATGTAATAGGAAAGTTAGGAGGAATACTATTCTAATGAATTTAATTTTTAATATTTAGGACCTCCAACAGCTCACATCCATTTGGCTTGATGTAGCAACAATGAACTGAAATGAATTTTAAAAAATCCTATGTATCAAAGCATTTAGGACAGAGTTCAGCCTGTAGTAATGCCATTTTAATATCTGCTTAAAATTCATCATCAAATTTGGCTAATTCCCCCCCCCTGCCACAGAGTGGGATGACATGCAATTCTCATTTGTCTGTGTATATGAATGTGGACCGGGAAAACCAAGAAAAGAGTTGTGAAAGATGCTTCCTCCTCTCACAAAGGGTCCTCGGCCTGAAGCCTGGCGAAGCCGACATGGCTCCCCTTGGGCTCCTCTAAGAAAGAGCGAGGGAGGTCCTGTCATCCCGGTGAACTTTCCTGGGTAAGGTGTCTATTCAGTCACATGAGAGGGCACTGATGAGCTCAGTCCACAGGGACTCTTACTTCCTCACATATGCCTGATCCTCTCTGGTCCTTATTGTGGTTGACATCTATCAAGTGCGTGCTACTCACTTTCAACCCTTACCGCAGACCAGTCCTGGCAGAGGACAGGAAATTGAGGCTCTCCGACCAAGTCACGCTGCTAGGTCACTGCTAGGTCACTGGCCAAAATCCTTGAGAAGTTTGTTGCAGGTGCCTAAAAGATATGTGAATGGTAGAAAATTCTACTTCTTCCCCCAGCCTCATCCCAGGGCTTTTCTGGGCAATGATTTTTGGCAGTTGACCCCAAGGAAATTGTCATAGGATTGAAAGCCAGGTTGGGCATCTGGGCAGAGTTCAGTACCCGTGCCAGCTCAGCAGCAGCAGGTAAAGGTTGTGACTCCTTCCCTCAGGTCTCTAACCATTTCCGGTTAAGATCACAACACTCCGGTAAGACTTTCTCAGGTGGAAGGCAGGAAGAGGGTAGCTAGTGCAAGGATCAGATAGCACCTGTTTGGACGCTCATTTATTAATGATTTAACAAGGGCGATCACATGGGGCAACGGCCGGTTTTTTTCTCTGCCCTCATTTTTCTCACTAACAGACCTGACAAGTGTACAAGATGGATGGGTCCAGCAAAGAGGAAGAGGAGGACAGCACCTTCACCAACATTTCTCTTGCGGATGACACAGGTAAGGGGAATCTGATGGATTCCAAAACATAAAATTCAGCAACTGCTCAGCAGTTTTTTTAAAAATATCATTTTTATTGTAATGATAAAACATACTGTAGAAAACTTGAAAGATATAGCTACAAAAATAAGACAAAAGGTATTTATTTATGAGCTCTTTTTCTTTTTAAATTAAGTGATTATTTTAAAACTTCCTGTGGTTGTAGTACATGTACTTAAAAAAAAATAAATTGACACATAAAAATATAAAATGTTTACTTCCTAAAAGCTCAGGAAACATGACTTCAAAAGTTATTATTAAAACAAGCTATCGTATTACCATCTTTTGTTCAATTACAGTCAATTTCTTCTCTATTTTGTAAAATAATTTTACCATTTCTGAAAAACAAGCTAGAAAATGTTACAATTCACTGTAAGAATTGTTTCAGACAACGTCTGGTTTTTAAGCAAGGAGGAAGTTTGCTAAGTTCAACATGAGAGAAGGAAAAAGGAGGGGAGGTAGTAGTTCTAAAATGCTGATGGAAGAACACCTATCCCCAGGAAATTAACAATGCTGAATTGCACACTGGTAACTGGAAACACTTCAAACCTATAAGCACCCATGTCTTAGGGAGGGGTGTGTGTGTGTGTGAGAGAGAGAGAGAAAGAGAGCGTGCGTGCGTGCGTGCGTGTGTGTGTGTGTGTTTGTGTGTGTGTAGCGTCGTTTGTATCCAGCTCCTTCAGCACAACCCTAGCGAGAAGCCAGGACTGCGGCTAAGCAATGGGGGTTACTGATTTTGAATAACAGAGAGCAGAGCATGAATATTTAACTTCAATTGCTCTTTCACACAGCCACGCTTCTCCACTTTCTCCCTAAATGCTCAGATTCAAAAAGCCTCTTTCCAAAGTGCAGCCAGACAATTAGCACAAAGCTCCTGCCAGCCGGAGCTAAGCCTCCCCTCCTGGCACTGCATAAACAGGCTGGGAGCTTTGGGAATCAAAGAGGAGCATTCTCGGCTTTTCTGAGGGAAACAAAGAGACAAGGTTCTGGGGCTGTTGGAGCAAGGGGATCCCTTGGCCTTAGCATATTCCCGACCAGGGCGTTTCAGAAAACGACAGTTGCAGAAGGCAGCGAAGGAAGGAAACAAAGACCAAGGGAACCCGTCTCCTAGCTTCTGGGGGGCAGGAGGAGCGAGGAATGCACGCCGTGGGCGGGCGCGGTGCCCACGGAGAGCTTGCCTGCTTCGAATTCGCCCCAGCGAATTCTTTCTCAATTGTAACGAGGAGACAGACCGTTGGCGTGGCTGGGCAACGCGCCATTCTGAAACCACTCTCTCCTCCGGTCCTGGGTGCGGCAGACAAAAGCATAGGAGGGCGGGGGACTGGCAGTCAGCTGTCCCGCGGTTGGCACCCCTCCGAGCTGCTCGCTGAGGCCGTGGGCAGAGAGGCTGAATGCGCTGGGACGGGGTAAGCGCTTCTCCGGGGTTAGCAGAGGCAGTGGTAGCGGCGCAGGGCGATCCCAGTCTCCTGCTCGCGCTGGCTGCCTCCTCGCGATGGGACAGAGGAGCCGCGGACTCTGAGGACACAGGGGGCCTAAAAGGGTGGCCCAGCCTGGTAGCCGGCGGGGGGCTGGGGGACGGGTTGCTAACAGGGCAGCTTCAGCATTCCAAGATGTTAAATCGAAACCGTTCATTTCCTTGCAACGACAGTCCGCTGAAACATCCCGCGTTTTGGCTTTTGGAGATAACTGTATCAATGTGATGTGGTAGCACTGGTTCTCCGTTCTTAGTAAGAGCTTCTTCGTCTTTGATAAATAAAAATAGGAAAAAAAATTATTAGGATATAAATGCAGCTTGTTTAATAGACATCGTGGAGCCTATGCAAGAGTAAAGCATTAAAAACGTATGGCTTATATTATTGAAAAGTTTATTCCAATTTATTACTTTTATTTGTGTCCTATATTACATATTACTATATGTATATATGAAAAGGAGGTCCAGAGAGGCTCCGTGGCTTGCCCAAGGTACACACTGTACTCGAAACTGCTAGATATGGAGGCTGTTCATTTTTACTTCTGACTGTACAGTCAGGCCTCAACTACTCTGATGCTGATCCCCAGGCAGCGCCTCCGCCCTGCGGTCCCCCACCCCCATGATAACACTGTCTCTTGCTCAGGGCATAGCAAGAGAAAGGAGAACACAGTTGCTGACTCTGAGAAAAGGCTTGTTTGAGAAGAGGACTGAAGGCATTAACTCTCGTCTTCAGACCTAATTTATGGAGGTGACCCTACTTCCTGTCAGTCTGCAGGCGGGAGACCCAGTTACTCCAATCACAAACCAGTCTGGCTCTGTAATTTCATGGGGAGGTTAGAGGCATGGATTTCAGACCAGATATCTCCTTAGAAACAAGTTACAGGATTTTAGCCCCACGCTTCTCAAACTGTGTGCCACGGCGCCCCAGGGAAGGCAGCAAACCCACAGGGGCTCCGTGGGGTGTCTCTGCCTCTCTCAGACTCTGCAGGAAGGGGAACCGATGGCTAGGAGTTGTTCTCCATGTCACTTAGATGAGCCACCTTTCTTTCTGTGACATCCCTTTCAATGCCGGGTTGTCTGTGGTTGCTGTGATAAACGCAAGTTTTGTTTAAAATCAATGTAGGACAGGTAATGACGGTGTCAGTTTGAGAAGATGGGAGAAGTTGTGAAATGCTCAAGAGGCACATACATATGTCCCCTGAGTAATTGTTTTTTTAAGGATGAAATTAAAAAATTGAAATTTCTTCCGGTTGAGGGATAGTATTTTTTCCAAATGGTTACCAAGTTTGAAGGATACAAATACTTATGTTAAGATGTTTGGACCTAAACACAGCATGGAACTGTTTAATATTTCTCTGGGTTTTGGAGCATTGTGAAAAAACTACTTAGGCTTAAGGGCACTGTGAACCAAGGCAGTTTGGGAATCTCTGGCCTCAGCTGGGTGGTAGCTGGGCTGGCCCCCGTCCTGGGTGGAGACACGCAGTGCAGAGCGAACATTTGGTACCTTCCTTCCTTCCTGTGCTTCTGCTCGCCTGGCTTTGGTGCTACCACTCTGCTCAGGCTGCCCTTTAACCCCTCTCTTGTCATTCTTGGCCTCTTTGGGGAACCCTCCCCTCGGGTGCTTCCCTGAGATTCTGCCCTTGGCTCTGTTCCTTCTCTCTCCAGACACACTCTCTGGGTGACGACACCCACTCCTCGGAGCTCCCTCCTCACCGTCATGCTGTACACCAGGGACTCAAGGACAGAGGCTGCAAGTTCAAAAGCCCTTAGGGCCGGGCAATGTATGTGTGGGACAGAGGCAATAGCAGATCCTCATTTATTTCATTCAGTGTTCAAACTACACTATTGAAATGTCTATTCTTTTTTCAGTTTATTAGATTTTTTGCCATGGATCTTTTTATTAGTTAATTTTTTTTAAATTTTGATGGCATAAGAATGTTTAACATGAGACCTAGCCTCTTAACAGATTTTTAAGTGTATGATATGGTATTGTTTACTATAGTCACAATGTTATACATCAGCTCTCCAGACCTTATTCAATTTACACACCTAAAGTTTCATACCTGTTGATTAGCCACTGTCCCTTCATTGTGCCTCGCACCCCCTCGGCCCCCCCACCCAGTGACTGCTACCATCATTCTATTCTTTGCTTCCGGGAGTCTATTTTAGATTCCTCATACCTCATATAAGTGGAATCGTACACTATTTGTCCTTCTGTGACTGGCTTATTTCACTTAGTAAAGAGTCTACAATGTTCATGTTGTGGCATATTCCAAGATTTTTCTTTTTTAAATCTTAATAATATTCCACTGTGTGTACACACCACATTTTTGTTTACCCATTCATACATTGATGGACATTTAGGTTGTTTCTACGTCTTAGTTATTATGAATGGTGCGGCAATGAACATGAGAGTGTTAATATCTCTTTAAGATCTTGATTTCAGTTCTTTCGGGAAAATATCCAGAAGACGGGTTACTGGGTCATATGGTAGTTCTCTTTTTAAACTTTTGAGGAACATCCATTTTGTTTTCCATAGCAGCTGCATCGTTTTGCATTCCCACCCGATCGTGCAAAAGGGTTCCAACTTCTCCGCATCCTCACCATCACTTGTTGTCTTTGTTTCTTTGCTGGCTATCCTAGCAGGTGTTAGGTGATATCTCATTACGGTTTTGATTTGCATTGCCCTGATGACTGAGCATCTTTTCACATGCCTGTTGTCTATTTGTACATCTTCCTTGATGAAATCTCTGTTCAAGTCCTTTGCCCATTATTAATTGGGCTTTTAGTGCTTTTATTATTGAGTTGTAGGTGTCCCTTATGTGGTTTGGAAATTACCTCTTAATCAAATATAGGATTCACAGAGTCTTTCCGCAGTCTGTGGGTTGCCTTTCTATTCCATTGCTTGTTCCCTTCATTGCACAGAAACTTTTGGGTTGGATGTCTCAGTTGTCCATTTTTGCTTTCCTTGCTTGTGCTTGTGGTGTCACAGCCATGAAATTATTGCCAACGCCAACATCAAGAAGCTTTTTCTTTATATTTTCTTCAGAAGTTTTACAGCTTCTGGTCTTTCATTTAAGTCTTCCTCCATTTTGAGTTTTGGGTTTTGTTTTGTTTTTTTTTTTGTAAGAGAAGAGTTCAGTTTCATCCTTTTGCACGTGGATATTCAGTTCTCCCAACACCATTTATTGAAGAAACTGTCCTTTCCCCATTGTGTATTCTTGGCACCCTTGCTGAAGATCAGTTGACCATATGTGCATGGATTTATTTCTGGGCTCTTATTCTGTTTCATCGGTGTATGTGTCTGTCTCTATGCCAGTTCCATACTTTATAAATTGCTGTAGTTTGTAGTATAGTGTGATGCCTCTAGCTTTGTTCTCTGCCCTTTCAAAATTCTTTTGTCTATTTGGAGTCTTTAGTGGCTTCAGATGAATTTTACAATTGTTTCACTTTTCTGTAAAACATGCCATTGAGACTTTGATAGGGATTGCATTGAATCTGTAGATTGCTTTGGATAATTTGGACATTTTAATAAAATTAAAGTTTTATTTTAAACTTTAAAGATGTTACAAACAAATGGAAAGTCATCATGCATCTTTCATATCATATAGTAATTGCTTTTAATATAGTTTATTTCACAATGGTGTCTCAAGTTTAATTCTTTCAACAAAGATATGTTTTGTTTGCATATCAAATATCTGAGAACTTCTTTCATTTCTCACAACCATTTTCCTTGGAACACACAGTCATCTTTGACTAGATTTCTTCTTCTATTTTTTAAAAAAGATTTTAGTTATTTATTTTTTAGAGACAGGGGAAAGGCGGGAGAAAGAGAAGGAGAGAAACATCAATGTGTGGTTGCCTCTTACACACCCCCTACTGGGGACCTGGCCCACAACGCAGGCATGTGCCCTGACTGGGAATCAAACTGGCGACCCTTTGGTTCGCAGGCTGGCACTCAATCAGTTGAGCCAGGGCTCATTTTCTATTTTTTACTGAGGTAAGAGAACAAGAAAAATTTACTTTCCTCTTAAATCTATTGTACGAAAGGCAACTAAGCAAATGTTACGAAGAAATGGCAGCCAGCGCTGAGCATCACTCAGGGCTGGGTCCAGCCAGGTGAGGGCTGAGGCCCCCGGGGGAGCACGTGCCCTGCTCAGAGGGCAGAGCTGCATCCCGTTTCTAGCTGGCTGTTGGCATAAAAAAAGAAAGGAAAAGAAAAGAAAGGAAATGCAAATAAGCAGAATTTCCAAGAGATACTAGAAATACAGAATTTATTTTGGTGCAACTTCCTGATTTTTCCATGTTTTTCACTTAATTCTAATTTAAAAATAGTATCAGAAATGTCCAAACAAACCACATCTGCAGGATAGATATGACTGCAGAAGAAACTATTTTCAGGCTTCTGCTCTTGAATCTTGACCACTTGTCTTTCTCTCTCTTCTGAATTTGATTCATAAACCAACTGCTAGACACCTAGATATATCCCAGGTGTCAAACAAACTCATCTTCCCCACCCTTATCCCCCAATGTGCTCCTACTCCTCATAATTTTAATGAACAGTCCCTTTATCCGGCCAGTTACTTAAGCTAGAAATTCATATGTCGTTGTCCCATTCTTCTCTCTCACTATCCAATTAATCACTGATTTCTGTTGACCTTGAAAATGTCTCTCCAGTAAATCCTGCCGTCTCTAACCCTCTCACCTTCCCTGATTAAAGCCCTCATTACCTCCCATGCAAACCACAGCATCAACTTCCCAACTGTTCTCCCTATTTCAATTCTTATCCTTTCAAATCTGTCCTCCACACTGACCATATCCCTCCCTGTCCTTGCAGAGAACAATCAATGCCTCATATCCCCTGATGGACAGAGTCCAAGACACTTAGCATGGCATTTATTTAAAGTCTCCCTCTACCTGGCTCAACCTGCCTCT